GATGGCTATGAAAAATTAGAGGTGTCTCCATCTCTTTTGATGCTGTCTCATGGTTGTTGATTTGGGGGGGGGGGCTCCACCTTTGGCAAGGCTGCCCCTTCAGAGTTCATAATTTTGGAAGAGCGACAGATGGTAGAAAGTCCTCAGCCAGCCACTCCTTGGCCATCCTGTGCTAACTGCTCCCATTTGAAGAGGGTGTTGTAAATGTTTGGGGAAGATCTCTGGTTCATAACCAGACCCATAGACCATTTCGTCTCTTGCCCAACCATGAGAAATCCAATAAAAAGAGGTCTCATGGCAGACGCCGTTCGGCACTGATTAAGCATCAAGGCCATAGATGAGGTCCCAGCAGACCAGGTAGGAAAGGGATACTACTCCATCCTATTTGTAGTACCAAAATCCTCAGGAGGATGGAAGGCAATCCTTGACCTCAAGGGCCTGAACTTCCGCCTCCAGTATTGGAAGTTCAAGATGCAGACGCTCCACTCCATCTTGAATTTACGTTTGGTTGAGTGAAGAAGCTTTTTGGATGAGAAGTGAAACATTTTCAAGGAAAAAAAAACTAAGAAAGTTCAGTTGCCTTTTGGAAAAAAGCACCTTTGGGATAACCATGACCTGGGTGGTTGAGAATCTCCATAGACAGTGAGACACTCTTCCTTCACATGATAAAACTAATTCTGCTGTTGTTTGGCCCCCACAGAGCCTCATCCTGATAGTTCTACCAAAATTTAGCAGCAGAGTGTCTTGTTTTGGGTGGGATGAATTTAGAGGGTTCCTCCTCTCAAATAAAGGTCAGACAGACCTGCTAATCCTTGCCAACACTTAAGGCATCCCTTCTGATTCTTAGGTTTTCCATACCACAATATTTTATATAATGTTTGTATCACGTGTGGCTACATCTGCAGGAAGGTCCACATTCACAATCTGTTTTCATAAACAGAAAGGTTTAAATTCACCTACCAGTCTAGGTTGAAAATGAGAATATTGTGTTGCATGTCAGCTGTTGCCTGAGATGACGTATGAACCGTTCCTTAAGCCACAATATGATTTATTTGTTTGGGCACCGTGCACTTATGTTTCATTCAATTCTCTAGATTTAGGATGCAGCAAGGGATGTGAATACAACCAGTTTTATAGGACTGGTAAATACTTCTCTTAATCTTCACTGGCCAATCTCAGCAAATGCAAAGGACATATTTGGAGCTATGGGCAAGACTAAAATGTAAGGAGGGAGAAGCGAAATTGAAAAGGGTAGCCTGTTTTTATGCCCCCCCCCCATGGATTTGAACATCAAGGAGCTTCAGGATACAGCTGATGTGATTTACATATGGATCTCAGACGTCATCCATGGTGTCTTGATGGCTATATAGTCATTTTGACAGCACCATGGATAGTGATGGGAGGGCACTGAGACAAGCAGAGGCACAGAACAAAAGGCCACCCGTTGTGGCTTTTCAAAAATCTGCCGATGCACTAATTCCACAGGCTTCTAAGAACTGATGCTGGATGGTGCTGTGCTTTTATTATGTTTACCAGTGCCTCTTTCCCTTTTTACACGTTTTTTTTTTCCAGAAGGGCTTTGTCTTTCTTCCTGCCCATCCACCCTATTCCCGTTTTTCCACCAGCTCCTGTGTCCTAAGTCTCTTTGCAGTTGGATCAGAGACAGCTCTGGCTGTTTGGGGCTTTGATTCTGGTTTCCTGCCTTGTGAGATAAAAGATTTTGGCCAGGCAGGCGTGAACTTTGTCCCTCTTCTTTGCAAGCCTCACAAATGATAAAAAGCCAGCTCGCAATGCAAACTCAACTTCTTGCAGGCCTTGAGTGTAATGTCATGACGTGTGTAAAGAAAAAAAAAAAGGCAGAGGTTGTGATGTGAATCACAGGGTTGAAAGGCACCTCGTAAAATGCCCAACGCTGGGATCCTGTTTCACCAATTGGGTGTCACCGCAGTTCAGGACAAACCTCTTTACTCCCAGGGTTGCTATTATGGAGAAAAATTGGAGGAAGATGCACAATTCTGCCTCACGTCCAAAGTGTGAGTAAACAAACAGGCTTGGCAAGCAGCAAAGCCAAAACCAGTTTGCCAAGCCTGATGGGAAAGAAACATTATACTCTGAGCCTACACGGTCTTGCATTTTTAAACCCCAAATAGGATAAACAGAAACACAGTGTCTTCCAGTTGCTCAGAAACTAAAGAGATACCCCTGGGAAGCTGCCTTCATTTGGATTTATTTATGCTGTACCTTCAAATGAGTATTTCAAACAACTACAGCTGTCCTGGGGTGCTCTTTTAGCTCTGTAATATTAATTTAGGATCACGGTGTTGCAAATAAATAACTCCTCTTAACAGTTGTTTATTTAAGCCATCCAGAGGATTGGGAATCCAGAGGGCTTTTCATATAAATAAATAAATAAATATTGATCCATCACAAAAACAACAACCAAAACCTGCAAAAGCTGAGCACCTTTTGATTGTGGTGGATGGAATTAAGAGAAGGATAAGCTTATCCCGTTGAACAGAGGTCTGGGTTGTAGCTTGTCGGCTTTTGAGCCAAGAAGTTGGTTTAGAAATAGTTTAGTTACAGTTTCGGTGATTTGAAGTGGAACTATTTGTCAGCCTCAACTGTGTATTACATTATGTTGGGGTTTGGTTGTGATTTTTAAAGACAGTGCTATAAATTGTGTTATTGTTTTCTGGAGTTTAACCCTTTATATACCACCTAGAGCAGTGTTTCTCAACCTTCAATATGAAGAGGTCTGGACTTCCGCTCCCAGAATTCCCCTTCCAGCCAACCATGCTGGCTAAGGAATTCTGGGAAGTGAAGTCCAGACATCTTAAAGGTGCCAAGGCTGAGAAACATTGACTTAGAGCAGCGGTTCTCAACCAATGGGTTGGGACCCCATTTGGGGTCGATCGACCATTTCACGGGGTCTCCAAGCAAGGCTGTCTGCCATTTTTTCCCCTTTTCCCCTTACCTCCCTTGGGCTGGGCCAGCTGGGGGCCCAGCCGGTGGTTGGCCTGCTCTGTCTCTGCCACTTGCCAGCGATGCTTTGGCTGGCGCAGGGGGTGGCACCACACATGCACGGCACTCCTGGGCAGGAAAAGTCCTTGACTTACGACCGGTTGGGTAGTCCTCAACTTACGACCGGTTGGGTAGTCCTCAACTTACGACCGGTTTAGTCCTCGACTTATGACCGGTTGGGTAGTCCTCGACTTACGACCGGTTGGGTAGTCCTCGACTTAGAACTGGTTGGGTAGTTCTCGACTTACGACCAGTTTAGTCCTTGACTTAAGACCGGTAGGGGGTCGCGGCATTAAAAAGGTTGAGAACCACTGACTTAGAGAGAGGCGGATGGTTCTATGAAGGGACAATTTGCATCTGAGCCATTGAACCTTATCTAGTCTGACTCAGATGCAAATTGTCCCTTTGAGAAAGGTCCTGTGTTTTGGCTTGAGCAATAAAATAGCTAATTGAAACTCTTGGATCGGATTGTTCTGCTTGTCATAAATAGAGGTTTTTTTTAAAAAAAAAACACCTTAGAATTTAATCTGTATTTTGAAATTAATGTCCTGAAATTATCTGCATGGTTTTGAAAGACTCATTCAACCCAAAAGTCACCGATCTGGGTGATAGCATCTAAGTTTTCCATATCCCTCTGTTGAAACTGTTCTTTAGTTTACAGGTCTTAAGGATGACCAGATTCTTTTATTTCGCTGCAAAAGCATGAACTTTTCCAGCTTAAGACAGAATGATAACATTCTACTGTTGACCTTTACATTCCTCTGAGTGATGAGTTTTATCATTCTGAGCAATCTCCTTTGGGGGGGGGGAGTCACTTTATAACTTTCAAAGCCTTTGACATCTTTTCTGCAAGATGGATTGAGTCTTATTTACAGTCTGAGACTAAATAACAGCAGCAATGAGGGTCCAAAAGTCAAAACAGGCAAAAAAGAAGAAGGAATGAAGGCATAAAAGAATAAATTACGGTAGAGTAAGACAGATTCCTTCAGGTAGAGTCGGATGACAGCATACAGGTAGTCGTCAACTTACAAACAGTTCATTTAGCGACTGTTTGAAGTTACGATGTTACTGGGAAAAGTGACTGACCATTTTTCACACTTACGACCAGTGCAGCATCCCCAGGGTCACGTGATCAAAATTTGAATGTTTGGCAACTCGTTCTTATGACGGTTGCCGTGTCCTGGGGTCACGTGATCCGCTTTTGCGACCTTCCGACAAGCAAAGTCAATGGGGAAGCCAGATTCACCAAACCACCGTGTTACTAACTTAACAACTGCGGTGATTTATTTATTTATTTATGAGACTTATATACCGCTTTAAGTGCAAGCACTCTCTAAGCGGTGTACACCAGTAAGCAATGTGTGTATATATATATATATATATATATATATATATATATATATATATATATATATATATATTTATTTATTTATTACATTGCCCCCAACAATCTGGGTCCTCATTTTACCTACCCCGGAAGGATGGAAGGCTGAGTCAACCTCAAGCGGTGAGATTTGAACCGCTGACCTGCTGAACACAGTCAGCTAAAGTGGCCTGCAGTACTGCACTCTAACTGCTGCGCCACCTCGGCTCTAACAGTGACAAGAAAGGTCGTAAAATGGGGAAAATTCACTTTAACAACTGTCTCACTTAGCAACAGAAATTTTGGACTCAATGATGGCCTTAAGTCAAGGACTACCTGCACCTGTAAGGGGTTTATCTTGTCATGTTTCCACTCTACTTTGTAAGTGGTCTCCCCTCCCAACAGTAACCAGGGTCAACCCTGCTTATCTTTAGAGACCGGTCAGGCCTGCTCAAGCTGCTAGCTCTATGCATTATTATTGCAATCGATATATCTATTTTTTTTTTCCCCACATGCACGGGAGCAATCCAGCTAGCTTTAAGGGCGAAGCCACCCTCTGGACGTCAAGGCTTAGGGCTGGTGCCAGGGAGGGCATTCCCGAAAAAGAATGGGGGCATCTTGCCAGGACGAGTTGAAAGAAAGCGGTGAGGTTTAATTATATCTTGGAGCGCCTGCCAGCCTCCCCCGGCCGATTTTGAAACAGCCAGCCCGAAGCTTTCGGCGGCACCGGTTGGACAGCTCAAGGTTCGGGCGGCGAAGGCGGTTTATCCCTGGCTAGGAGCAAACCGAGTTAAACCAGTCCAAAGTCTCCCCAATCCCCGTTGCAGGGCTGGAAACGCGCCGGCTTCGCTCTGCTGTAGCAAAAACTTCCACCCGGCTCCGTCCGGGGCTTCTTTTGGGGGGGGGGAGTTGGAGGGGCTGGGGGCGAAGGGCTGCGAAGCCGGCGGCGGTTCCCGTGGCCTCAGACGCGGGGAGCCCCCCCGGCCCTCCGCCATCGCCCACCCCCCACTGCTGCAAGCCAACCCGGGCCGGGCTTCTCTCAGCGCTCTGCAAAGTGGGGAGGGGTCCCCGCTGGAGGGATTCTCAAATCAAATCGGGATCCTAAGAGGCTCCCCCCCAACCCCCACGCGTGTCTGCAGCAGAGACCCCCAGTCGCGGGCCGAGAGCAGGGACCTGGCCCTTTGGGAGCCGGGGGGGGGGGTGGGAGAAAAGAAATCTGGGGGGGGGAGAGGAGAGAGTTGACTTAAAGAGTTACTAACGGCTTTTTTCTCTATCACTTTCTCTCTTGTCCTGTCCCCCCCCCTCCCTTTTGCTCCTCCTCTGCCCCCTTGCTCGTCCTTCCCTTTCTCTGCCCCCCCTCCCTTCTCTTTCCCCGTCCCTCCCCCCTCCTCTTGGCTGGGATCCCCGCGCCCCTTCCCCAAACTCCCCTCCTTTCCTTTCCTGGCACCCCCCTGCCCCCTTTTCTCTCCGGGATCCCTCCCCCGGCCCCTTCCCCAAATTGCCCCTCCTCCTTCCTTGCTCCCTTCCTCCTCTTCCTCGCCCCGCCTCCCCCCCCGCGCCCCTTCCCCAAACTCCCCTCCTTTCCTTTCCTGGCACCCCCCTGCCAACCTTCCTCTCCGGGATCCCTCCCCCCGCCCCTTCCCCAAACTGCCCCTCCTCCTTCCTTGCTTCCTTCCTTACTCTTCCTCGCCCCGCCTCCCCCCAACCTCCCCCCCCCGCGCCCCTTCCCCAAACTCCCCTCCCTCCTTTCCTTCCCGGCTCCTCCCTCTCCCCCCCCCTTTCCCTCCGGGATCCCTCCCCCGGCCCCTTCCCCCTCCTTCCTCGCTCCCCTCTTCTTCCTCCTCCTCCTCCTCTCCCCTCCTTCCTTTCCCCGCGCCCCTTCCCCAAACTGCCCCCCCCGCCTCCCCGGCCGGCCCCGCCCTCCGCTCCCTGCTGCCCGCTCCTCCCTCCCCGCAGGCGGAGCTTCCCCGGCAGGAGGCGGGGCCGGCGGACGCCCCGCCCCCGCGCGGCCGCGCGGCCCCCCCGCCATGGGTCGGAAGCGCTGCGTGGGGGGAGACGGCTCCAAGATGGCGGCGGGCTGCTGCGGGGTGAAGAAGCAGAAGCTCTCCAGCTCCCCTCCGTCGGGCTCGGCCGGCCCGGGCGGCGGCGGCGGCGGCGTGGGGGGCTCCCGCTGCGGCGAGCCGGGGGCGCTGCCGGCGGTGGCCGGGGGCGGCCCGCGCCTCAACGGCCTCGGGGGTCTGGCGGGGGGCTCCCCCGGCTGCGCCCTCTCGCCGCCGCCGCGCCCGCCCGGCTGCGGAGGGGCCCCCGGCGCCGGTCTCTCGGGCCCCGCCGCCCTGCTGGGCTCCCCCGGCGCCGGGCCCGGCGGCTGCAGGAAGATGGTGGTGTCGGCCGAGATGTGCTGCTTCTGCTTCGACGTGCTCTACTGTCACCTCTACGGCTACCAGCCCCCGCGGAGCCCCCGCTTTACCAACGACCCCTAGTAAGTACTCCGCCCCGGGCCCAGGGGCGCCCCCAGGCTCGGCCGTGCCGAGGGCGCCGCGTTGGGGAAGCGCGCCGAGGGGTCGCTCCCCCCCCCGCGATGCTGCTGGGCTTCCCCCCCGAGACCCCCGGGGTGAAAAAGAGGGAGAAGCCCCCCCCGCTCTCTCTGCCCCAGGAGCGAGGCTGGCCCCCTCCTCGATGCGGCCCCTCCTGGGTGGGGGGCTTCCCCCGGGACCCCCTTTTCTCCCTTTGTTTGGCTCCGTGCCAGGCTGGGTTTCTTTGCCCCCCCCCCAAGCCCTCCTTGTTCTTTTGGGGCGCCCCCCTCCCAGCTCCGGCTGGACCTTTGGGGGCATTTGGTAGGGCCGCTCCCTTGCCCTGCCGCCAGTCCCGTTTGGGGGGGGGTCTCCTGGTAGCCCAACAACTTACAGGTTGCAAGTGCCTGTGGTCCTTCTGCGCCAGGGGTGCCCCCCCCCCCCAAAATGTCCCGTTCAGAGGATCCCTATGGTTGTCCTTCTTGCTGTACTGTGGTCATTTTCCAGGATAGGATTTTTTAAAAAAAAACCAAAACTAAAAATCTCAGTCTAGGGATTTCCTGGTGGTCTCCTATCTGCAGTTTTTCAAGTTGAGCCCAAGTTTGCAAGGTAATTTCCCACAATTATCTTCCCAGCAAGCAATATCTGGTAGGAGACCCAAACCCTTTCCTCTCTTTTCTGGTTAGCATCTGGTTTTCCTCCACCTTTGGCTGCCTTGCCTGTGTCGCTTGGCATGGAATGAATGGGGGTCCCTTTAGCTGCCATTCATACATTTTTACCATTTCCTCTGGCCCTTTTTGCACAGCCCCACGGGGCAACCCTGGTGTGTAACTTTTGCTTCGAGTTGTCCGATCTCTCGGGAGTCTCTTCCGTGCCGATGGCGGGCCACGAGGTTGGGGGAATATGGTATTTATATATGCTCCTGCTGGCTTCGCCAAATTTGGGGAATGTGATTAATTGCTTGATTCTAGTTATCCCTCTGACAGGGTTTCTCAGAGTATTGCTTGCCCTGCCCGGACAGTTTCAAAACTTGTTTTTTACTGCATGATCTCAGGATTAGGAATTGAGACCTAAAACCAGCTGTGTGTGTGTGTGTGTGTGTGTGTGTGTCTCGGAGTAATTGTGGTGGAAAGTTGAAAAGGATATGAAAAAAAGAAGGCACCCTTTTTCCTGCTTACTATTCTCCCTCCCACTGCTCCCTCCCCCCCATATTTCACTTTCTTGGCAAATATTTAATTAGTACAGCTAGTCCTCGACTTACAACAGTTCATTTAATGACCGTTCCAAGTTACAGTGGCACTGAAAAAAGTGACTTATGATCATTTTTCACACTTACGGCTGCTGCAGCATCCCTTGCGCTCACGTGATCAAAATGCAGATGCTTGGCAACTGGTTCATATTTATGACGGTTGCAGCATCCCGGGGGGTCAGGTGATCCCCTTTTGCGACCGTCTGACCAGCAAAGTCAATGGGGAAGCCAGGTTCACTTAACCACGTTACTACCGTATTTTCTGGCATATAAGACGACTTTCTAAAGCATGGAAATAAGAGTCAAAGTCGGGGGTCGTCTTACATGCCGAGTCGTCTTATACGCCGGAAATTATGGTAGTTTCTGGCGTATAAGACAACTTTCTAGGCATGGAAATCGGCGCCGAAGTCAGGGTCGTCTTATATGCCAGAAAATACGGTAATTGAAAACTGCAATGATTCACTTAACAGCTGTGGATAGGAAGGTCGTAAAATGGGGCAAAACTCACTTAACAAACGTCTCACTTAGCAACATAAATTTGGGGCTCAATGGTCGTGAGTTGAGGACTACCTGTAAGGATTTACAGGTAGTCCTCGACTTAACGACCATTCATTTATCAATGTTTCAAATTGCAATGCTTTATGACCTATGAGCATGTTGTCATAATTTGGGAGTTTGGCATCTACACCGGTTGCAGCGTTCTGTGGTCACGTGATTGCCACTGGCAACTTCCCAGCCAGTTTCCAAAATTGTCACCAAATGAATGAATCACGGGACAGGTAATCCTCGACTTTACAAGCACAATTGGGACTGGAATTTCCATCCTAAGTCAGTCCAGTCATGACTCACTTTATGGCTGGAGTGACAGGATATAAATTCCAGCCAATTCCCAATTGGTACAGTCAAGGACTACCTATCCTGTGAGTTGTTAATGCCTTACTACTTGCAAAACCATGTTTATAATAGCTTCATGTATCTGTATTTTCAATTCTATATTGTCCACCCTGTGCCTTTTCCAGGGCAGAGTTTACACAGAGAGTTTTCCAGGGCAGAGTTTACACAGTTCTTCCTTCAGACACTCAGCTACGCATCCCCTAACCATAAATGAACACTTAGAGGTGGAACGAGAACTAGTCAAAGACATGGGTAAAGTACAGTCCCAACAGCCAGTCCATATTAAGAGGTGATTTAACATCTAATTTTGTATCTAGGTAATTTTCAGTCTCAGACCCATATATTATGCATTACAGTAGCTTTGCCTGATTAGGAGAACATAAGAGTGCCCGGACTATGCGGGATCAAGAGAGCCACACTTTAATTAAAGAAAACTTTTCTATGTCACAGAGGCTCCTTTAGTCTCGAGTGGAAGGCAGATCTAAGAGCAAGCATCAAGACCAAGCATTTCAAGAAAATGAAGTTTCACAGCTAGAAAAGGTGGTATACCTTCTCTAAAGTAGATCTACTGATATCAACATGGCACGTGACAACCCACCACTTCTTGAAAACTGAGTTATCAGTGTAGTTACTCTAAACTAGAAAAGGGAGAGGGCTGCTTCTCACTTTTCCTAAATTCGTTGATAGCTTTTGTCAGTCAGAAGCCTTTGTATATTATTTTGCTTGTAGATGCTGTCTTGTAAAGAGTCGCTCTTAGGCTGTATAGTAAAGCAGGTTGATTGAACAGTTCTTTCTGGTTGCAAAACCTGAACATAATCATCTTTGAGCGAGTCAGGACCATCCAAAATGTTCAAAATTTGTAACTGAATTCCCACGGGAAGCACTATAAATTTGACCATTAAAAAAAAAAAAAAGATCTGGTAAGGAATCATTGGTGTAAGAATTGGCATCCTTTGGACAACTGCTTTATAACAAGAGGATGATAGGATTGCATCTTACCTAGCTTTTAAATTTGCACTAAAAAAGATGAAAGTAAATTAAGCATAAACATTCAATCTGGAGGAAGACATTTATTCTGAATTAATCTGCGTGCTTGTGATCTTTGTATAGGAATGGCCATAACCCAAATATTGGTGTAAAGATTTCATGAAAATTGCTGATTTATTGGATTATAACTTCTTTGCTTATCCTTTATCTTACCTTTTACTGGTTTTATTGGTTTAAATATTCTTCTCTTGTGAACAATTTGTTGTGTAACTATAAAAATTGTGAGATTCAAGCCCTGATTTTTAAAAAGTGCTTGGATAGGTTAAGGTGTTTGCCTTATTATTAACGCCATGAAAGTACTTTCTCATAATACAAGTTTCCTTTTGCACAGTTATATACACTGACAATTCATTTCTAATGAACGAATACAGGTATACGCATCTGTGAGTGTTTAACGGTGCAGTTTTACAAAGCTAAAAGTGTACTGGTGATTACTATATTTGCTGTGTTCCTTGGTTCTGACAGAAAGATATATGATTTTCTGTATACTGGCACATAGATTCCAGGGGTGTGCAGTTTTTTTATTCGGTTCCAAAAGTTGTTTCAGAATCCTTGGGAGGCCATGAATGTATCACCAAGCTATGATAAAAGACACAGCTGCTTTAAAAAGTTGTACAGAGGTCCAATGTTGTCTTGTGTTTTCCAAAACACCTTTTGAAATGGAACACAAAAGGCAGTGCAGCTGTAACAATTACTAGATTCTGCTCCCTTGCCTCACTTCTTATGAAGATATATGGTTTCCACCAGCATATAGGTTAGGGATACAATCCAGATAATGTAAATATAATAATTATCCCTTAGACAACTGCCTTATAACAGGAGGGAATAAGGATGATAGGATTGCATCTTACCTAGCTTTTAAGTTTGCACTAAAAAAAGATGAAAGTAAATTAGGCATAAACATTCAATCTGGAGGAAGACATTTATTCTGAATTACTCTAATCTGCACGCTTGTGATCTTTGTACGGCCTATAAAATTTCAGCTGCTGTATTGCAGCGATTCTTATGCAGCCCCTTTTATCAGTTCACCCACATGGGAGCCCTTTTTTAATATTCAGCATTTTTTTCTTTCTCTGTGCATTAGTTGCCTTATCCTAATCCAGCTTATTGACCTCATTGCTGATGCTCCCTCATGTGCCAGGCTGAGCACATTAGATTTGTTTCCTGTAACAGTGAACTCAAAATGGAAGGCACGGCAGTTGGAACAAAAGGTGTCGGAGAAGATAAGGGAGATTCCATCGTCGGTGGGAAGGGATCTCGAAGCTTGCCGAGGTGTAGACGGCAAAATAATAAAAAGGAAGGCCATTCAGTAGCTTTGAAAAACTGAGCATTAGGATGTGGAGGTGGTCTACACTCCTTTCTGGAGAATGTCAGCTGGTTGGGAGGGTCCCGCCTGCTATGGAATGAAGTTGTGGGCCCACATCTTGTGGCTGTGTCACTTAGATGATACAGCTGGTAGATCCACCCTGGATTCCTTGCATTTATTCTGCAGTTCTGTGAGTTGATTCTTTCACCAGAGACCCCGCTCCTCAGGCTGTCTCTGTGGTTGAAACAGATGACCGCTCGCCAGGGAATTTGCTAGGTCTTCCAATTTCTACATTTTTAGAAGAGTTGACGGAGCCCAGCAGGGCTAGTCTGCTGCATGGCTGCAAGCTTGACACGGCTGTCCCCTTTTGTCAGAGCTCCAGGGATTTCTCCTCTCCAAACACATTTCAGGATAAGCTGCAATTCCATAGGCATCCTGGCCAGCATTGGAAGAAAAAACTAATGCAGGTAGTC